ACCCTCCCGTCCCCCCCCTGTCTCTCTCTCCGCCCTCTCTCCCCGTCCCTCCCCCTCTCTCTCTCTCTCTCTCTCTCTCTCTCTCTCTCTCTCTCTCTCTCTCTCTCTCTCTCTCTCTCTCTCCGTCTCTCTCTCACAGTCAGAAGTCTGCTCACCCTTCCTGCTCTGCCCCCCCTTGCCTCTCCTCTCCATTCCACCCCAGCATATCTATCACATTACAGAACCCAAACATCTATGACAGCACTTGCCACAGAGGATCAGACCCACCTCATCACTGTATCCCTCATCTCTGGTCACAAAGCCACATACAGTGCTCAGCACCAAATGCCTTACAAAAGCATGCTGCAGAAACAAAGGTCTGGAGAAGAGATCGAGGAGGAAAACAAATACTGACAGTTTAAGGACTGCCTGTTCAAACCTGTCACATCTTAGCTTTTAGTTACTAGGGGAAAATTACCTCTCAATCCTAACATATTGTATAATAAGATTAAAAGGAGAAAGTCTGGTTTTCTACTGGACAGCTAGAATTAGACACAGGTCAGTGAGGAATCTTGCAGGGCTTAAAGGAGCCCAAGCCTCCCTGAAGACAAAAGCTTGGGAAGGAATAGTCTACTGCCAATTCACCTTTACACTGCCCTGACCATCAATGTAGGGGAGGTCACTCACCTGGCTTATTGCCTTCCCCCTGGTGTCCCAGCTGCCCCTTGGTGTTTAAACCGCACGTGTACACCTCCCCATCTTCCAGCAGGAACATGGAGTGGTTTCCTCCACACGCCACTTCCTTAACGGTTCTGTCAGATATGAAGCTGCACACCTGGGGCTCAGCAACAATTCCTTGCAGGTTGGTGCTGATGCCTGGTTGGCCCAGAGACCAATACCCCCAACATAGCATTGTTCTTAACCTTCAGGGAGTCATGGAGCCTAGAGGACAGTTCTGTTAAAAGAAAAGGGGGGGGGGGGGTAAAACCAAGTGAATAGGTCAGAAGAAATCAGGTAATAAATGAAACTAATTTACAATAACCTCTAAGAACAAAATAGATGATAGAGCTGGATCACAACATCTAACCCATCATTTTATACTAATTAAAAAATAACCCTCTCCTAATACTTCAAATATCTTGCAACTCAGAATAAAACATATTAATATTGTCAAAAGTATTTATAAGCTGAATGCATTCCTTTAATCCCAGCACTCAAGAGGCAGAGGCAGTTGGATCTCTGAGATTGAGGCCAGCCTGTTCTGCATGGTGAGTTCCAGGTCAGCTGTGGCTACAGGGAGACCCTGTCTCAAAAAAAAAGTATGTTATGCTTTTATATGTTATAAAAATGCTATTCTGTGTTTTGGAGTTATGTTATTTATAAAAATGCTATTTTGTGTTTTGGAGTTTTAAAAAAACCTTTTTTGAACCAATGAATGAGCACAAAATATGGCTTACATTGGTCATTGATGGCCAACTATAGAAGGATGTTGAAATGACCTCATCTTTCTCAAGGTACCTTTCATTTGCATTTTCTGATTTTTTTTTAATGTTTGAACCAATTAAGTCCTTTACTAAACCTGTTAGCTAAGTTAATAGTATTTCGCCACCTGAAACAAAAATGAGAAACAGAGGAAAATGTTATCCTCTTCCTTCTGAGTCAAGCTTCCTATTTGGGAGTGAACACTCTCCATTCCAGAGACAGCAGCCCACATCCCTCTGGGCCCACTCCAAAGACCATCAGCCCATATCCCTCTGGGTCCACTCCAAAGGCCATTAGCCCACATCCCTCTGGGGCCACTCCAGAGACCATCAGCCCACATCCCTCTGGGCCCACTCCAGAGACCATCAGCCTGCATCCCTCTGGGCCCACTCCAGAGACAGCGGCCCACATCCCTCTGGGGCCATTCCAGAGACAGCAGCCTGTATCCCTCTGGGTCTTCTCCAGAGACTAGCGCCTGCCTCTTTACCAGTTCACACACACTAAGGTGACCAGATCACGTTAAGAGTTAATGAAGATACACATAAGGTGGTGCCTTCTATGTGGCTAACAGAAACACAAAGCAGTGGAACTGCTTTAGAACATAGTGTGGAGTCCTTCAGAAGTTCTTTTAATTCTTACTATCCATATACTCAGAAATATCAGGCAGGTGATTTTGCTCCTCAGAAAAAGAATTAGTAAACCTCTCTAGTTCTGAAAGAAAAGTCAGGATTTAGAGAAGAAATGTAGGGAAAAACCCCTGTCATAAAAAAAAGAAAGAGAGAGAGAGAGAGAGAGAGAGAGAGAGAGAGAGAGAGGAGAAAGAAAGAAAGAAAAGAAAAGAAAAGAAAAGAAAAGAAAAGAAAAGAGAAGAAAAGAAAAGAGGCCAAGTGTGGTCAGCCCTGCACTCAGTTCATCTGATAGAAAGTGATCTGGTGTTTGAA